ACACACACACACACACACACACATACATACTGGCATATATGAATTAAAAAGAAAGATTAAATCAGAAGTCAGGGCAGTACACAAAATTTATGCCAATAAATCAATTTCTTTGCTAAAATTTACAACTATATGTGTAAGCTTTCCTGCAATCAGTGAGAAAAGGAGGGAGAGGAAGCTATAAGCCGTAAAATTCACTGTGTTCATGGCACTAAACTGGCCTTAAGCCATATGTACAAATGTTACCCACGTGACTCACTCAGCTTAGTAGGGTGGGGGATTCACGTAGGGACTTGGACTCCAAATCACAGTAGGGATCCCCACAGTCCTGCTGTGAAAGGCGGATGGGACCGTCTGTGAGTCACGTGGACATCACTCTGTGTTTCCCTCTCAGACTTGCAGTGGACAAATGGCTGGCCCAAAAGTCAGATGTTCAGGACCTGAAACACAGCTTTTTCCACAGTCAGGTCTAAGGATAGCCTCTTGTGAAAACTGAGGGATGCATTCAGAGCCCACGCTCGCCTAGAAATCATGCCACACACCATCAGAGGTGAGCCGAGCTATTCAGCAAGCAAAGAATCACAATTCCCCACTGGTGACAATTTCACTTCTGCTCTTGTAACACACAATTAAAGATGAAGCTCTAAACATCCTAAAATATAAAGTGAAGCTGTGCTAATTATATCCAGAAAAATGTTTTTAAAAACAACTTTAGAATATCAGAATAAAGCATTCTTACCTAAATATTACAGATCTCTGATATAGCCGGACAGTAATCTATTGACACCTCCTAATGACAATTAAAACATATATTTTGTACATAAAATAATACTTATATTCCATTTTCCACAGCAAGAGAATGCATCTAGTTTATCCAAAGAAAACATCAATTCATTAAGTTACAGCTTAGAAAATGAGGGGAGGAGTCCAAAATATTTTCCCACTTATCCCATTGTTTGAGTTTTAGAATTTAGATTTGGGGGAGGGGGCAGGGGATTACTTGTCTCTTTAAAGAGAGATTCAATGCATTTAAAGGACACTTAACTAATCAGAAGGGAGCCACTACTTGATCCCTCAAGAGACCCTTCTAAGTGGAGTCATTCTTGAGGTGGCAGCACAGAGCAGACTATGAAACCATCTACAAGGTTCTCCAATGAGCTTCTAGGTGAGAGAATGGATTTTAACAAAGCCACTCCTCAATATGATCTTCATTCAGTCAGTCAGTCGACTAAATCCATATGCTAATCCCTGTTAGAAACTAAAAAGGGGCACATAAAAAAAGAAAACACCCTCTCTACCCTTGGCAGTTAGTCAGGAATCAGAAAGGGGAAGTGAAAGAGCCGAGCTTAATGGAGGGTGTTTCCAGTTCTACCTCCTGGCTTCTGGGAAAGATGAGAGTTGCTATGTGGGCCCCATGCTCCCACTCAGCGATGGGGTGGATTTTCCATTTCACAGATAAAATGGAAAGACGTCAGCTGACTTGATGAACTGGACTTCTCGTCCACTGACCTGTCCAAAGTCCTCTTCGGCCAGTTTCCTGCATTACTTTGCGGCAGTTCAAAGTCTCCACCTCGCCCCCCGGGAGCAACATCCAAACAGTGTACCTTTCCCGATCTCCCCCTCACCCCATACATCGAACCTTCCCTACATGTCATTCTATTGGATGCTTCTGCCCACTGGCCATTATGAGACACTCGTGCTCGACAGGATAACAGGGTGATGTAGCAGGAAGAACGTGGCATTGTGGTCCTCAGATTCCAAGTCCAGTTCCAGCCCTGCTCCCAACAGGGAAGTGACCTCAAGCGAATCACTTCTGCTCTCTGAGCCTCAGGTTTCTCATGTGTAAAATGATGCGATTGAAATAATCCAGAAAGTTCCTTCCAGCTTTCACGCTTTTCTGTGATTCTTGTTTTGCATTTTATTCTCTTCAATGCTGAGAATTTCAGTTGCTGTTCGATGCATTGAGGGGCCACATTTGGGGACTAAGGCTTGGTTACTTACTGTGCTGACAAAGGGGGGAAAAAAACAAAAGTCTATGTGGAAGCCAAGCACTCCCATCCCAGGTGCAGGACTCAGAAACTCAGCCCCTGGGTACTGCACTAACGTCAGTTTCTGTTCTTAGCATTTTTCTACAGTGATGCCTTCTGGGCACAGAAGGACCGAAAGAAAGAAAAGGGTAGGTGCCAACTATCTAGGCGAGACAGAGGATCATATCCAGCTGTTCTGCCCTCTTCGACCCCATCTAACCTCGAGTCCTGTCTTCAAACCCTGTTAGAAAGAGCTGAGTTGAATTGTTTTCATTTCTATTTCATTGGATTCTGTGTCCCAGCTCGCATACACTTTAATATAAATCCTTCTTCATTTAAAGAATGTTCTGAAATTTATGAAGGGCTTTCTCACACATTACATCATTTAATACTCACTAGTTCTTCCCTCGCTCGAAGATATTCTCAAATGTTGTTTTTGGACCAGATCTCAGGACACTAACGGCTAAAGGGAGACACAGCTCACCAAAGGCAAGATGTCTACGATCAGCTTTTCACTAATGCACAATGGGATTTGAGACAAATCATTTAAACTCTCTTGGCCTCAACTTTTTCAAACAAAGAGCAAGAAGTTTAGCCCAAAAGGCCTTCCCTCCTCAAAGACTCTTCTAGGTTCATCTCAAAACATATTCCTCTCTCTGAAAAACCATGTCTTGAGTCTTCAAAAATAAGGTTAAATGTTCCCTCTATAACAATGCTTCTCAAAAAAAGAAAGAAAGAAAGAAAGAAAAGACAATGTTTCTCAAACTTAGCTTAACATTTTAATTACCCGGGAAACATTAAAAGTTACTATTATACTAATGTCTGGGTTCCACTCACGCGAGATTCTAATTTAATTACTCTGGAGTGTAGTCTGGGTGTCTGGAGTTTTCAGAGCACCCCGGGTGGTTCTAATGTGTAGCCCAATGTGGAAAGCACTGTTCTGGGATCCACCATGGATCCTGTGGGATTTTCATAAGAGAACCCTATTATCTGGAATTTTTCCTTCCCTCTCAAGCTTCAACCAATGGGCAGTCAGATGGGCTTTTCCAACAGTTGGAATCTTCTCCATGTCCCTGTGATCTCTCCTTATCCTCATACTAGCCAATCAGACTCTTCTCCGTGGCCCTGTGGTCTCTACATATCCTCATACTAGCCAATCAAACTCTTCTCCGTGTCCCTGTGGTCTCTCCTTATCCTCATACAAGCCAATCAGACTCTTCTCCATGACCCTGTGGTCTCCCCTTATTCTCATACTAGCCAACAGCACTACTTTCTCCCACCACGTTGCAAAGGCACATGAGACAAATACTGAAATGGGGCTAGAGTTATTTGCTACTAATAAATAGAAAAATAAAGACTACAAAATTGCTTAGTATATTCATACTAACAACAACAACAAAAAATGTGTCACCTTTATCCTTTGATAGAGGCTAAAGACCAACAAAGTAAACAGGAAGGTGTGCCAAGGGCAAGCATGTCTTTGCTGTGACAGGAGGGTTTAAACGTAACAAAGCTCAAAGGGCTCTGGAGGCACTCCCTTACTGACTTCATCTGCGGGCACGGTCAGTTTCCAAATGTGATCACTGCAAGTGAGTGATGTGGGCATTCATCTTTTATTAATCACTGACTTTAACATTCAAATAAATGTTATTTATTTATAACATATATCAGCAGTTCACCGAGGAAATTGCATAATCGCAAGAAGTTGGGGCACAATTTTAATTGGTATAATGTTCTACCATGAGGCCTTGATTTTATCAACCGAAGACTAAGCTTCATTAATCAGTACGCTGAGAACCAAGTGAGCAATTGTCTCTGTCACCAACCCAGCCTGGCTTATGGGAGAAGCAGAAAGAACCACTGGCTTCAGCCCAAGTAATAAGGACACAGGGGAATTCCAGCCCTGCCTCTTGCATTAGAGAACAATCCGCAAGACTTTTAAACTTTTTGTATTCATGTACTGAGCAAAACTGTTTTGTTGTGAAACATTTGTTAGGAATCTTTGTATTAAAAAAAAAAAATCAATAAAGGTCCCTAACTTTAGGAAGCTCATAGTCTAACGGAGAAAACGATCAAGTCCTTGCAGGTCTATTTAGAGTCCTCTGTCCAATCCGAGACTGTGGATTCTGATCCTGATTCGGATTCTGGCCTCTCTAACCACCGCCTCCTGCCACAGCCTGACCCACGCGCTCCATGAAGAAGGACAACCTGACCTGGGCGGATGAGTTTGTCCTACTGGGGCTCTCCAGTGACAGGCAGGCCCAGGCTGGACTCTTTGTCCTGTTTGGGGCCGCCTATCTGCTGACCCTGCTGGGCAACGGGCTCATCCTGCTCCTCATTGGACTGGACGCCCGCCTGCACCTGCCCATGTACTTCTTCCTCTGCCACCTCTCGCTGCTGGACATCTGCTACACCTCCAGCGCGGTCCCCCAGATGCTGCTGCACTTCCTCCTGGAGAAGAAGACCATCCCCTTCGCCCTGCCCTTGGGGGGGACCGACTTCCTACTGCTAGCCGCAATGGCCTATACCACTACGTGGCGGTCTGTGACCCACAGAACAGCATGCACGTTGTGCAACCACTTGTGTAGAAAGACACAGAGAGAACACAGTTCATAAGTTAGTTGGTTAGTTAGCCTGGTATACACATAAGTTAGTTGACTGACTAGTTAGTTAGTTAGTTAGTTAGGTATTCACGACTTTCTGCTATAGAATAAAATATCTCTAGACCGACCAAAAAAACTGATGAGAATGCCTCAGAGAGGGACAAGTAAGAGGGAGATTTTTATATGCAGTAAAACGTTGGGATTGCGAGTAATGTGGTTTGTGAGTGTTCCGCAAGACGAGCAAACATTTCTAATACATTTTACTTGGTAAACGAGCGATGTCTTGCAATATGAGTAGTTTGTTTCCGGAACAAATTATGCTCGCAAACCAAGGTATTACTGTACATTCTTCAGTACATTTTGAATTTTTAAGCACGCAAAGGTATCACCTATTAAAAAATAAATGTTTACAATAAAAAGGTAGAATAATTTGCCCACTCAGCAGCATACACCCTAATCGGTAGGAAAAGTATTCGCACTTTCAGAGATTAAAATTTCTCCCTATCAAGAATCCAGTTGCAAGTTAGTCTCTGAAATTTGCACATTGATGACTTTTAGCAAAAACTTTAAAGCCTGCCATACAGCCAGCCAACTCTAATTAACATCTACACAATTATTTCTAAAAATGTCTGCATACTAATTAGAACAGCTATTTTAAAACAACATTTAAACATAAGATTTACTAGGGTGATTCTTTTAAAAAACAGAGTTAAGTGGATTTTGGACACAAACTAAGTGAAATTCATGAGTCTTTGTCAGAACAAAAAGTACATATTTATTCAATTCACATGTGACTTTGTGACATTTGCTTGATTAAAAAAAAAAATTCCAGAGACAATTTGACAATGGAGAAAACCATAACGTGTGATTCCAATGGAAGAATAAACATGAAGAAGTCTGGCTGCCACTTAGACTTCAGAGAGGACAAAATCAAAGGCAGAACAATGGAAATATTAGTAGGGAGAAAAAAGTGGGGTGATGTAAAGAAACCGTCCAGTAGTTTTAATACAATTAAAACCAAATTATCCGAGTTTGGCGAGAAGAAAGGAATCTCTATAGAAAGAAGGGCTGTTAGGCTCACAGCTCTGGCCATTGTCCACCACAACTACGGTCCCTAGGTGGTAACCATTACATTGTCCTCACGAAGGCTGCTGCTCCCCATCCACACCCTAGTTCGGTCATCGACACATGTTCTCTTAATTCCCCAGTAGGCTGTCAGGATAAGACTTTCTAACTGGAGGCTTAATCAAGACTTTTTAACTGAAGGCGTCTACACAACAGAGAGGGCAGAAAACACAGAGAGTAGCACAAAGTTTTATATTCTGACCTTCTGGACAATACTGGCTCCCTGGTACCCATGCGGCCCCATTTTAATAGTGTCCCAAGGAAGGCATTGTGCTCAGACCGTTCCCAGATTTTACTCTGCCCCTCTCCTTCCTAACAGAGAAACCCCACAGCATGACCCCATGGACATATGCCTGTGTCTGAAAATATTTCCATGTAAGCAGGCGGTGGGTCTGTCGTCCTCACCTCAGTCTCTTTGGGGGGCGGGGGGAGGAGCGGAGCTCTAGCTAAGAAGACCATACCACCTAGGCCACCCAGAAGCCCCTGGCCAACAGAAGCAGCTGCCTGAACACCCCTCGAAGCCTGGGGTTGCTGAGGATGAGGATAAAGGGATGGACAGACGTGCACAGGTAGAATACATTTTGCGACACCCAGTACCAGTCGTTCTCTAAGGAGAAGAAGCCTGCAGTATCAATCATCTGAGACAGAAAGGACAGAGCATAAAGAACAAGAAAGGAGACCAGTGATTTCAGAGCTCTGGTGTGAGCCTGGGTGCTGGGGTCCTGCGGGCTGTGGGCATTATGCCGCATGGTCCGCCTGTGTCTCCTCAGAGAATCAATCAACAGCACCATGGAGAACAGAAAAACAGAGCAGGGAATTGACAGCGTGACAAAGTTCAGGGGCAGGAAATAGCGAGCCTGCAGCCTGCTCCTCCACGTGTCGTAGGTCAGGTTCCCAGAAAACTTTCCAATTAAGAAACCCTGATATACGATGTGGTTCCCCCCCAAAACGAGCAGGGTGACGAGGAAGGAGATCAGGAGAGAGCCCAGCAGGAGCCAGGGCACTGACCCTGGGAACCTCCACTTCAGCCAGAGGAAGGTGGGGTGGGTGAAGGTGGCGATCTTTAAGCAGAAGAGGACGCTGAGCCAGGTGCCAAACCAGAAGGTGGCTGAGTTCACGAAGTACCAGAGGAGCCTGAACAGCTGCCGCGTAGAAACCCGGCTGTACTCTGCCAGGTGAATGAAGAAGTAGAGGTTGTGCACCATTCCAACCCACTGCAGGCAGAAGCGCGAGGCGCCCAAGCACAGGAGGATCATGTCGGAGGGGAGCAACCCGCCACGCCGCCTCCATTCTCTGCTCAGCACCAGCACAATGAAACCATTGGCCAGGATTCCCAGGAGACACAGCAGGACAAAGAGCAGCATGAAGAGGGTTGAGACTGCTGGATGCATTATGGCCCCTCCTCTGGTCACCACCCCAGCGCCTTGGTCCCTGGCCTCCTCCCTACCTCCACCCTCAGTCACTCTTCTGATGTCTCCTGGGGGCGTGAAGAATGCCAGGATCAGCATCTGAGCCCAAACTCACTTAGAAGGAGGATGCTCACTCGGGCTAAGGAGGAAGGTGAGCTTGGCTCAGCGAGGATGCAAATTTCCTTTGGGCTCAATTACCCCTGGGCCTACCAACTGCCCCTGATTTGCCTTCTCTGCTTTTTCCTGCATGCTGCCATGGGTAATATTAACATGGAGGGCTTTTCAGGGAATCTGTGACTCAGTTCCATCTTTATTATTCCCCCCTTGGGCTCTGTGAGATGTGGGCACACCTCTCCCCACCAGCTCATTCTCAACATGTTAAGTACATAGACAACAAGTATAGAGAGATATTCGTATTATGGCCAAGATCTAGGCCAAATAGTGATGCTAGAGAACTCTGTCTCCAGCTGAGCCTCCCTGTCACCCATCCACCTGGCAGCAGTCATCCCCTTCAAGGTCAGATACCTTGGTCTACCTTTCTATCAAATCTCCCTAAATCCTTCATGGCCCCTGACCTGTAAATGACACTGGTTTAAACTGGTTTTATGTTTCCAGTGAGAGAATCCATTTCCTTGTGGTTGTGTAGGACTGAGGGCAACTGCTTCTTGCTAAATGTTAGCTGAAGGCCACCCTCAGGTCCCAGTGGCCACGCACAGTCTTTGCCAAGTGGGCTATTTCAACATGGCGGCTCAAGCCAGCAACGAGAATCTCTAGAGAGAGTGGACTAGCAAAATGCAGTCTTAAATATCATAATGTCATCACGGGACTGACATCCTATCACCTTTGCCACATTCTATTGGCTAGAAGCAAGTCACGCTACCCACATACACTCAAAGGAAGGGGCTTACACAAAGGTGAGGATATCAGGGGTGGGGGACATGGGGGCACCCACTTAACATCTGTCTGCCACACTGAGATACCATAGCTTACAAGGCATATGTGAGTCCCGTCCTCAGAACACCAGCATTAAAAAGAGATCCCTATGAGGGCATGTTGAAAAGTAAAAATATTTTCTTCAATGAAAATAGATTCAAGTTAATCTATAGTCAAATGTTTTCTACTTAATACTTCAAATTTGTCCATCCTCCCCACGTGTTTAAAACCTTTTTTCTGTTTGTGCATCCTTTCAGATTGGACTTTGTCATGAAAGAGTCAATTAATCAGTCATAAAAACAACGTGAAAGCTATTACCACCACAGTATCAATGTACAACTGTATTAAAATTAATACTCCACAATAAAAAGAGAGATTCCATTGACCTTGGGTAAATATATACTTTTCTCACTCTCAGATATCTGTTTTTTATATAATTTTCATATTCATTCATTCAGTCACTCAACAGGTATTTACTGAGCCCTTATATACACAGGGCTCCTATTCTCATCCCTGGAGATAGAGCAGTAAAGCAAAGCGGTGGGATCCCTGCTTAGGGAGCTTGCAGTCCAATGGAAAATAACTCCAATAAGCAAACACATAGACAAGACACTTTCATATGGTAATCAGTGCTTTGAAAAAACAGAAGAGTAAGTTGATGGAGAATGGCAGGACAGGGGAAAGCTAGTCCACTGGGGAAGGCTTTCTCAGGGGTGACATGGCCTGAGCAGCCTGAACAAGTACAGCCTTTGCCACGTATCACTGGCTGTACTCATATTATCAAACCATGCTTTTATTATCTCTCTTCCACCATTCATTCTACCTTTATTCAGCGAGGGTACCTTCTCCTGCCAGAGAATAAGAACTCCAGCAGGCCACGTGACTTTTCACTCTTATCAAATAGGTCATCCCAAGATCACTTCAATTCACAAAACAACCTCAAACCAGAACCTAGACATTGCGGTCCAATATACCAACATTACCTAACGAGATAACTGTAGCTTGAAGCCCTCTGAGATTCGCTAACACAGAGCGAGAGTGGGCAAGAAGCAGGAAGGGTCTCACCTGGATTAGAACCAAAGTAATCCGGCTTTGTGCTTCCCAGGCCTGGCAGATGTTTATGCTGACTCTCCCCTTCATGGGGAACTTTCAGGGATCTGGAAGTTTCCACTGGGCCTACTTTTCCTGAAATTCCCTTTGATGGAAAGAAAACATCTTTATTTTGAGTGATTCCTCGGGATTCCTTCATCAGCCCCTAAGCATTCACCACCAAATTGTTGCTGCTGGAGTTTCCACACTCCACTAGGCAGCCCTATTAGTCAGATCTCAAGACATGTCACGCACATGCCATGCTCTCTCTCTTGTGGCTCACAGTGGACCCTCAACTCTGCTCCCTCAGACCTCATGTAGCCCCATTCTCCGGACTCTACCCCAAACTTAGCCAGCCGGTCTATCATTCTCTTAGTCATCCAGGCAGGAGCAAGCCCCTAGCCCATCATGCCTCCCAGCTGAGGAAGTAATGCAGTGAGCTTTGCAAGGGGCCCCCTGGACGCTCTGGACCACCACCAGGTTTGAGTCAATGGGAGACATTCCTAGCCCTCCTCCATGGAATATGGAAGGGGACTCATGACAGCTTTCTCTATGTATTTATTCCTCACTTAATCCTCTCTCTTTTACTGTCTCAAACCTTTTATTTTTATCAAAAGGTTTCAGGAGTTATAGAGCAAGTTTATATCGATTTCCTTTGAAAACCTGCATATCGTGAACTGGTTAACTCACTCTGAGTCTCATGCCATGAAACCTTTGCATGAAACCTGATAGAAAATTCTATGTTTAGCACCATGTTATGTAAATAGCAAGATCAAGGAAGTCGTGTTGGTCATGGTAAGTAAAATTTGGATATTATTCTAATGTAATTGAAAGCCATGATAGGGATTTAAATAGAGGGAGTGGTGTGATCTGTTTTTTTTTTAAACAGATCCTATGGGCTGTTGTGTAGAGAATAGAATGGGAGAGGCAAGAATGGAAGAAGGTTATCAGAAGTTACTGCAATAAATCCTGTACAACTAGGTGGTGCTTGTTCGCAAGAGGAGGCACTGGAGACAGTGAGCCATGATAAGATGTTGGCACATTTTGAAGGCAGAAGTCAATAAGATTTACCTGACATGGAGGTGAAAGAAAGAGGAATCAAAGATGGATCCAAAATATTTTCCTTCAGTAGCTGGGAGAATTTTATGGAGCCAGTTACTTGCATGAGAAAGACTGCGAGAAAAATACGTTTATGGGACAAACTGTTTTGGCTGTTAAGTTCGAGATGTCTGTTAGATATCTGAGGTGACACGGGAAGCAGACAACTGAAATTTAAGGCTGGATCTTGGGGAAGAGTTAAGGCTGGAGTAACAGGTTTGGGAGTCATCAACACTAACATGGTATTTAAAGCCATTAAACGAGATGAGATCATGTAGGGAAAATGTACAGTCAGTGGAGGCTGTTCATGGGCTGGGAGGACGTCGTATACCTTCAACTTTTAGGGATTGAAAGCCAAAAGATGCAGCAAAGAAGACTGGGCTAGACTAATATGAGAGAGGGAGTCCATTCCAGGAGCTCGTGCTCAGGGTCATGGGGAGGAAGAAACAAACAGGTGGGGAGGGAGACATGGGAATGAAAAATACACTGAAGAGGTGATGTACACCCAGGGGAGAGGCCCTAGGGCAGCCACTGTTAACATGTTCTAACTTTGAGAGGCCCTTTGGTTGGGACCCAAGTCTAGCACAGTAGATTGTCAGTGTTGAAACTGGCATCTGTGCTGTGTTTTCCCCACTAATTGCCTGAACAGAGAAGCCTGATTTATAATTTGTCCATTCAGCAAAATCTATTCAGCAAGTACTGTCTGTTGGGCACTAGGCCAGACACATAAAGGGCAAAGATTAAGACAATCTCTTGAGAGAGGAAGACAAGTAGACATATAATGACAATTCAGTATAATAAATGATAAAATAATAATAACTAATGTTTACACAATGCTGCTATGAATCCCCATGTATTATCCTAAGTGTTTTACATGAAATTTTTTTTTTTTTTTTTTTTTTGCTGAGCCGTTCTGCCACCTGTTGGCAGCTCAGCTGCTGAGCTCGGGCCAGGAATCGAACTGGCGGCCCTGTTGCTCAGAGCTTGCACTCTTGAGCACGCTCTTAACCAACTGAGCCACTCGGCCAGCCCCTTAAATTTTTGATACTCATAAAAACTCAGTGAGTTTCAAAAATGGTGCTGGGACAACTAACTAGATAGCCACATACAAAAAAATGAAGTTGGACCCCTTCCTCACACAATACACAAAAATGAATTCAAAGTGGTCATCAATCTAAATATATGAGCTAAAACTGAAAAGCTCTTAGAGGAGGGCCAGCCGAGTGGTGCGTTGGTTAAGAGCTGGCTTGGGACGCCAGAGGGCCCTGGTTCGGATCCCACATATGAGGGTCAGTGACACTGCCCTCTACAGCTAAAATGCTGAACGTGTGTAGCCAGCAGCCAGCATGAGCGGCCAGCAGCCGCTGTGAGTGGCCATCTAGAAGCCGGCGACTGACCTGCCTCGCCCAGGAAGAGTGCAATGATGGTGCCAACTTGGGCCAGTGAAGCAACATCCTCCACAACTAGACTGAAGAACAAAAGGACAGCAA